ACTCATCTAGGATTGCTAGGAATCATCGTTTGACCATCTTTTAAAAATTAGATTAATATCATAAGCAATTTATTTAAAAAAATACAATAAGAGCTCAATGAATGTTTTTACTCCTATGCAGACAGGAATATTAATTCATTCAACAAACGTTTATTAAGAGCCCACTATGTTCAGTGTCATCAGCTTCCACAGTTGCCTGCACTCAACTAGCCGCCATATTGAAAGGAAGAGACTAGATTAATGTATAGTAAGGTGTTTTGACTTGTAGGGCTTAACCCATTGCTCTTTTCCAAACAGTCTTATATTCTAACAAAGTCTGATAAATTAATCTACTAGCACAACAGGCCCTATGGCAGGTTGATGGAAGAAATATTTTGGTACTTCTTGATGCACTTCAAAGCAATTTTACATATAGTCATGCCCACATCCCCATCCACCTAATATTGCAACTGTATAAAAAAGTGAGAAATTTATCCACTAACACTTATTATGCCTCCTTTATGCCAGGTTCTGTGCTAGCTGCTGGGGATGCTGAGATAGAAAAGGCATGTTTCTTACCTTTAGGGAACCAGAGCCCAGTGGGGAAGAGAGAAAAACAGTAACACAAAAGCGTGACAAGTGCTGCAGCCAAAGTAAATGCAAGGGCCACTGGGGCATGTGCCATCTAGCACCGCCCTAAACCACTTCCACCTGGTGATTATGGTTTAACGAAACTGATGGTTAGGTCCTTGTATTGTCTAATCTTCTGCCATTTTTAACATTCAAAGTCACTCCAGTCTTTCCATTTCCTGCATTTTGCCAATTTTATTCCTGTTGTCAACATCAGCACAGCATCAGACAGGCGATTTCATTCTTAGCTAGTCCTTGTATTATTGGACTACTTAAGCAGGAAGATAATTCATTTTCCAAATTAAATATATGACTTTTGTTTCTTTAGTCATAATGACTGAAGTTAACATCTGCATATTAATTTACTCTTCGCCGGTGCTTTTACATCCAAAGTCCCCAACCTCTCAGAATTTGCATTTAGCAACCAGTTGCAGATGTACCCTTGCCTGTTGAATGAGCTGCGAGAACACTGAGAGGACAACATCCAGCTCCTCCCCTGCACCCACCCAGCTGCCCACACACACTCCTGCCTTCCCTGCCTGATGACCCTGGAGCTGGACTTTCAGGAGAGTCACAATCGTGATTTGCCACCTCTCCTAACATTCATGGGCTCTTACACTCTTGGTAGATTCAGAACAGTTAGATACATAGGTAAAGAATATGTAATATATAAATTTAAAAATATACATATACACAGGAATGGTGATTTCTCGCTTTACCAACAAAGGGTGCCTTGCAGATAAATTACAAACCAGAAAGATTTTCAATATAGTGATGGGTGACTGGTAACCAAACTTTACAATTATTTTTGAGGGTAATTTTAGCAGTTCTGTTCAAATGATGCTTTTGGAAAGACTGCTATATTTTTCTGAGTGGAACTTACGTCAAGAGCAGGATAAAAGCCTAATAAAAAGATATCTGATTATAAATGAGATTTTCCAGTAAGCTGCTTTTCACTAGCTGAGGCATTTGCCATTGTCCCTGAAAAACAAGGTTCTCAGGATTGTACTTGAGAAGGTAATGATATTGGTCCTTGTGGCAGAGGAGTCCGGATCCAGGGAGTCTTATATATAATTTTGTGGGCACAAATGGTCATGCTGTTGACTCTGTAAAAATGTACATACACACACATATTGATGCTAAAAGGCTTTGTGGGCAAATGCATTTTTAAAAAGCACAGTGAATTTCACATTGTTGTTTTGTAATGATTGTCACTAAGGAGGAGTTCAGAAATAAACCACCTGGAGCCATGGACCCAAGCTGGCCCGGGCCATCTGCAGCTCTTTGGAGCATCCCCTTGTGCGGTGCCTGCCATGGCACTGGGTACTAGTAGGGCAGTCCATGGTGCCATGGCATCTCATGAAGGGGCTCAGCCACTGCTTTCCATACCCTCACAACACTCAAGGCTGTCTGGGAGGCTGGGGACCTGGAATCTACCTAGATCTTCCCACAACTTCCCTGGGACCCTGAGCAATTCAGCTTCGTCTTCCTTCACCTTGAGTTTCCTCACCTACAAAATGACAGTAAATTGTTCTCAAAGGTTTCATACAGGGTGGGACAAATGTAGGTTTACAAGTTGTTCATATATAAAATAGCATAATAATTAATAAATAATAATACAAGAATAAACTCTGTTTCACATACTAAACAACTGTAAATCTACTTTTGCCCTACCCTGTATAACTCTAACAGTCTATAATAATGAAAACTCAAGTTAAATGTAGAAAATAAATCATTCTATGACCCAGCAGTTTTACACATACGTGTGTGTGTGCGCACGTAGAGAGAGAGAGAGAGAGAGAGAGAGAGAGAGAGAGAGAGAAAGAGAGAGAGAGACATATATTGTTATGTGACCTTTGCATATCATCACTTCAAAAACCCTTTTGCCTTATGAAAATGATGATCTCCGTCTTTCATGATGTTAATTTTCAGAAACTTAAAAAATTTTTTTAAATGTACTTTGGTTTAAACTTTAAAGCATCTATTGGTCATTTATGTGACCAAATATATTACCAGCTGTATGATGTACATGGTTCCACCAATGACTGGACTTTTCCCATGTTCATCTTGATAAAACTATGGTGTGAAGGAAGTCTCCTATTCCCATATGAGGTCATAGCCAAACCTTGGGATACCAGAATGAATAGAGCCTCTTAAGAAATTGTATAGTTTTGTCAGTGGGGGGAAAATAAAATTAGTATGCCACATTCTTCTGTGCCCTGTGCAAGAAATTCTTCCTGCCCTCCTCTATCCACCATCCTCTAGGGATAGTGGCTATTCCCTTTTGTCAATAAAATCTAGCTTTGTTATAATGTGATGGAAAGTCTGTGGACTGATTTGGGGTTCAGTTGATTTAAGACTTTCAGACCAGCAACGCTAGCTATTAAACTTTCCATCATGGGGGAATGTTTTCTTACGGTTCTGTTTGGTTGGCATGTCATAGATTTGTATTTTTTAAATATATTTTTTGTATTGAGTTAGCCACCTAGGTGGCTATGCCTCCAGTTTGCATCAAAAATGTCATGTCTCATGCCTCTAACATGCTCTCAGTAGACATAACAATACTCAGTGGAAGGAAGGTCAGACAACGGTGTTCTTAAATTTCCCAGAACTCGTTATGTTGTCCAGATGGTTCAAGTTAGAATCTAGTCTTCAAGAATCTGACAGGGCTTTTCTTGGATAGGTTTTATGTTGTTTTCTTATCTCCATCTCTCCAAATGGCAACTGTGAAGACCCAGAACAAGTAGAATCTAGGTGAAACTAGTAGCTGAAAGTTATGTTTTTATGTGAATAGTCTTATGAGATTATCTTTTTCATTCGTGGATCAATTCAACAAAAATTTACTAACCTCCTGCCTGTCAGGCACTGTTATAGGCACTGGGGATCTGGGAGTGAACAAAAATGGACCAGGTCTTTGTCCTCTTGGAGCTAGCATTCTGGTGATTTTTAGAATAACTCATAGGATTGAAATGACACCCAGGTACATATGATGACAGGGATGATGACTGACAAGCTTCTTCAGAAAGCCTTCCATGATCTTCTATGAGTTTTCAAGCTGAGCTAAGTGGCTTGCTCTGTTCTCCTAGGACACCTGGGACATATCTTAGCTGCTTGGGACAGCGGCTATTCTAACAGGCTGTTTGTAGTCCAGCTCCATTGCTCACCAGCTGCAAAACACTGGGCCAGTGAACTCAGCCCTTCTGCGCATAATACTAGTGAATCCTTACTGAGCACCTACTGTGTGCCAGGTACCCTATGAAGTGTTTTACATAAATCATTTCATTTAATCTTCCCACCAACCCTAACAATGTAAATCCCATTAATATTATTCTTTACTGATAAGAAAGCCAAACCCACTTGGCTGGGAGTACCTTTATATGGAGTACCTCCTAAGACTGGTATTTTGTGGGATGTACTTTGGGAAACGGTATGTCAGGATCCTTTAAACAGTCTCTCATTAGGAAGAGCCAAGAAGGTGAAACCATAGGAAATAATTCTTAAAGACTTAAAATGATGATGATGTTTCTTTTCTTTTTTTGCTTTCTCACTATAAAAAATAATGAAGTCATCTAACTAGATTAAAGTTGTGAAAATAGAAATAAATCACCCTTATTTTCACAACTGAGGAGTATTTTCTCTTGTCTTTTACATATCTATACATCCTCAAATGTGTGTGTGTGTGTGTGTGTGTATCCAGCACTTAAAATGTTCAGACACTGTGCGAAGGGCTTTGCATGTCATCTCATGTAATCCTCACGATAACTGCGAGTTAGCAAACCTAATCCCCATGTTAGAGGTTGGGAAATTGAAGTTCAGAAGGTTTGAGTGACTTCCCAAAGTTGTACAGCAAGTAGGTGCCTGACCTATTGCTTAAACATAGTTATTTTTCACTCCGTAGCTCATGTGTTTAAACAGTAAAGTGCTGAAATAGTTATTTTCTTACCTAGAAAAAAAGGGTTCGTCCTGAATTTACTACCAGGGAGCTGAGCTTATCTTGGGTCATCATACAGCTCGTTCTATGCTGAATGATCAAAGAACATTGCAAACTTGTTCCTGCTTTTTATTTGTCCTTGCCTTTCTTCTCTGACGTTCGGTGCCGCAAGGGCTTCCAGCAAGTAATCCTAAATGCAGGACCACGTTGTTTTCTGTTTTATGGCTCAATAATCTTCTCTGTTGTAAATACAGTCAGAAATGATGGTGGCTTTTTCTTGAAGCCTCAACATTTTTTAAGAAGTGATTTATTTTGCTAGTGCCTTAGCTTCATGATTTCAAATATTAAGTTACTTGGTTCGGGTGGTCTTATATTTTCCCATAAATGTGTTTATGTCACCCGCAGACTGAGAAATTTCATTCCAGGTGTGTGTTTTCTTTCTTCATTTGATTTTGTGCAGGAGGAGAACTGAATTCTTTGAACTTGTCAGTAAAGGAGAATACGATTGGAACATCAAACCCCATCGTGATATATTTCGGTAAGAGAAAGCTCTTGTTTGTGTTTCTTCATTATTTGAAGATTTAGCTTTGCTTTCCTGACAGTGCGAAGAGCACACAAATGATTTTTAAAGCAGCAAATCTTAGCTTACACTCAAACAGCAAGAGATTAGTTGAATAATTGGAGAAAAGATAGACACTGTCTTTTTGCCTTCTAATGTATTATATTCTTGTCTCCTCTCCATAAATTTGCATTCAGAATTAGAAAATGATATTCAAATTGGTTCCGTTTCAGCAAGCCATGACCTCATCTTTCTCCAGCGAAGGCGGGTGTGCAAGTTGGGGGGAGGGGGCGGGGGGCTGGGAGGCGGTGTTTGAATCTCAGAAAAGTTCCACAGCATAAAGGAAAGCAGAGTTCACTGTTGCTTTTCTTTAGAGACGACAGGTATTGTAGCGAGAAAACCAATTAGAACCATTTGGTGGTGGGAATAAGGAGTCTGTTCTAGACTTTTCTCAGGACTTCTTCCCGGTTGTTTAGAAGAGACAGCCGCAAACCATCATTTTTATGTGGCACATTTTAACCACCGATTGCAGCCACGCCAGCTGGCGAGACTCTATTTCTGTCTGTGTCATACCGTCCCCTGCCTTCTGCCATCCCCACCTCAGCCATCTAGAACCTTCTGCTGTCTTATTCCTACTCCAGAGCTGTTGACTGTTCCTGAGAATTGTGAGGCCGGGATTATGGGTTTGCTGTGTCTGCTCCACAGCAGACAGCCGCTGGGATCACCCCAAGTGGGACCCCATCAGACCTCCCCTTCCCATGTTTGCTCTCTGAAACCTCTGCCCGCCTTCAGAACTTGAGCTCCCCTGCACTGTCCCCCTGAAGCCAGCTTCTTCTCACTGTCTCCCTAGAGGGCCCTCCTGTTCCCCCCTCTCTGCATTACTCTTTGTCTGTTATCTTGACAGACCTTTTCTATGTCCTTTCCTGAGGGTGAGGGGGAACCTTCCAGTACCTCCACTTGTGTCCTAATTCCATCCCCTCCACCACCACCACCACCTGCATCCCGACCTTGTTGTTTGTATTCTCTCGACTTGCATTTTCAAAATCTCATGTGTGTTTTCCCATTATGACTTTTCTAAAAATACGTTTCCATCTCCTCAGCCAAAAAATTCATCCCTGAAATCTACCTTCTTCTCAAGCTCCAATCCTAGTTCTCTCCTTCCCTCACAACTCCTATTAACTTCTTGCAAGGCAATTTCTTTCTTTTTAAGTAACTTTTCATTCTGTAAATAATTATAGGAACGTATTTTTCTGTAACAAATTAAAACATTACAGATAAACTTCCAGTTCTCCTTTGAGCTTCACTCCCAATCCCCACACTGCCGCATAGCTGTGCTGTGCTATCAGTTAGCTGTATCTTTCCAGACCATTTCCAAAGCATGGACATTTACATGAACCACAGGAAAAAATTATCTAGTATGAATTTATCTGTTTTAATATAAATTCTGTATTTACATGTAATCTGAACTTGCTTGTTCACTCAACTATATGTGTTGGAATTCTTTTCATGTTCATAACTCATCATCTTTTAATGCTCCATAGTATTCCAAAATGTAGACTTAGCACAGAGTAGTTAGCCATTTCCCTACAGAGGAATTTAGTCTATGAATGTGATTTCTGTTCCTTTTGAAAGGCATCGGTCAGCTCCCAGGAATCTAATTCTACAGCCTTTGCTCTCTTCAGGTTCCCTGATCTCTTCATAAACTCCTACTTGTGTTGGCTTTTCCTTTCTTAAAACTCTCTCCGGCCTTGGATTCTGCAAAGCCATGCTCTTCTGGACTTGCCACTTTCTTTCTGACTCTTTCTTGTTCTCTTTGTCCTTTTCTAGGCTTCCACCTCCCACTACCACTGAAGTGTAACTATCCCCCAAGGACCTGGGTTTGGTATTCTCGTTTCTGAGCATCCTCTGGCTTCAGCTGCCATCTCTTCTTAAACGACTCCCACTTTTTTGGGCCTGGCTTCTTCTGAGCACAACTCCTAAAATGCCAGTGCTTGTTCCTCATATCCACCTGGATGTTTTCCTGCAGATGGTCAAATACTTTTGGCAGGGGACCTCACATGTAAAAAACAACAACAAAAAACAACTTATCTGGAAGTATATGTAAAATAGAGGTGCTTCCGGGAGGTCCACCCCCCTAGCTCTGCCCTCCCTCCTCATTTCACGGTTAGACTCTGACCATGTGCACCAAGTGGGGAGGGGCTCTGGAGAGCACTGAATTAGGGAATTTTAAAGTAGTAATAAAACCAACTAAATGTGTCTCTTTTTTTATCATCACCATGTGCCTGCAGTCTAAACAATGTCTATGATGAGATACTCCTGAGAAAAATATTTTGTTAGTACGAGTTGTAAACAATTGCTGAGATTACTGTTGAGTCTCAAAATAATTTATAGCAAAGCTTCAAAGGAGCACATTATTACTTATGCATTAATTACATGTAGGTTAATTCCAAGAACATCCAGGTATATAGTCAGCCCCTGGTACAGGTGGACACACTTTCAAGAGTTCCTATTGGCTCAGAACCTTTTGCACTTCCTCCGGGTGTCCTGTGTGTCTCCAACCTTTGGGAGTGTCACGGCCCTGCTTCTAAACAGTATATTCAGAGCAAACAATGATAGTACAGTGATGGTAAGGCTGGAAAACACTTCCTGCAGATGGTCAAATACTTTTGGCAGGGGACCTCACATGTAAAAAACAACAACAAAAAACAACTTATCTGGAAGTATATGTAAAATAGAGGTGCTTCCGGGAGGTCCACCCCCCTAGCTCTGCCCTCCCTCCTCATTTCACGGTTAGACTCTGACCATGTGCACCAAGTGGGGAGGGGCTCTGGAGAGCACTGAATTAGGGAATTTTAAAGTAGTAATAAAACCAACTAAATGTGTCTCTTTTTTTATCATCACCATGTGCCTGCAGTCTAAACAATGTCTATGATGAGATACTCCTGAGAAAAATATTTTGTTAGTACGAGTTGTAAACCATTACTGAGAATACTGTTGAGTATCAAAATAATTTATAGGAAAGCTTCAAAGAGCACATTATTACTTATGCATTAATTACATGTAAGTTAATTTTGAGAATGTCCAGGTAGACAGTCAGCCCCCTGTACAGGTGGAAACACTTTCAAGAGTTCCTATTGCCTCAGAACCTTTTGCACTGCCTCCGGGTGTCCTGTGTGTCTCCAACCTTTGGGAGTGTCACGGCCCTGCTTCTAAACAGTATATTCAAAGCAAACAATGATAGTACAGTGATGGTAAGGATGGAAAACACATAACTTGAGTTCTTTAGTTCTGTCATTTTATGTGGCCATTTGAGGGGAGGTGGTTATTTGTGTTTATAATGTAAAGCAATGATAGAGTACAAACTGTGAGGTGGAATATTTTTGTTTAGTAAGTGCAAAATTCAGTTCATACATGAAATCTTTTACTGAACTTGAATATATCTTTAAAATTAAAATTTATTCCTTTTAGGTTACAAATTGTTTTAAAACTAGAGAACAAGTCAAGAAAGATCTTTATTGAACTACTGTTGGCATATAGAGGAGAGGTGTGATAAAATGACCTGCTGTGAGGGTTGGGTGTCCAAATACAGTGCCGTTCTTCACCCACCCGACTAGGACAGAGACTCGTGACAAGTCAAGAAAGATCTTTATTGAACTACTGTTGGCATGTAGAGGAGAGGTGTGATAAAAATGAGCTGCTGTGAGGGTTGAGTGTCTAAATACAGTGCCGTTCTTCACCCACCCCACTAAGACAGAGACTCGTGCCTGACCACTCATTCATCCAGTCTCACTGAGCAGGTTGACAGCACTTAACTGTAAATTGGACTAGAATTATGAGACTAAAGCAGTTGGTACAAGCTCCCTCCCCACTCTCTTCCGAGTCAAAAAAGACTGTTCACTTCTTGCAGAGGCTGGATTAAAACAAATAAGGTAAAACTGCTCATTCTCCTCCTTCAGTTCTTCCTGTGGAATCTCCCACCTTATCTTGCCCTTCCATTCCCCTGTCCTTCTTTGTTGTAGGCCCTTATCAACTTATGCTTGTCAGCTGGTTCCCTGCTTCCACTCTCTCCTTATTCAAACTGTTTTCATATCTACCACCTAAAGTTCTCTCCTTGAAGGTCTTGCCAGATCCCTCCTGAGCCCTCAACCTTAATTAA